AAAAAGAGTTTTGCTCTTGTTGCCCAGGCTGGAGTGCAGTCGTGCTATCTCGGCTCACTGCAACCTCCACCGCCTGGGTTCCAGTGATTCTTATGCCTCTGCCTCCCAAGTAGCTGGGATTACAGGCACCTGCCACCACACCCAGCTAATTTTTGTATTTTTAGTAGAGATGGGGTTTCACCATGTTAGTCAGACTGGTCTTGAACTCCTGACCTCAGGTGATCCACCCGCCTAGGCCTCCCAAAGTGCTGGGGTTACAGGCCTGAGTCACCGCATCTGGCCTGAGAGTGTTTGCCAAATTCATTCACGAAACATCTACCAAGAGCCTACCACTGGTCAGACTCTATGCTGGGGCCAAAAATATAAAGAGGAATAAAATTCACATGGGGAAACTCTATTATCAGACAGTGTTTTTTACTTAAGTTGAATCAACATTCAAATCACTATTTTGATAACTTAAAAATTCAGTTATGATTTCATCTCTGAAATTTATCTGAGTATGCTCTAATGTTCCACAAATAGATAGCACTGCCACCTGCCGTCAATTCTGAATTTCAAGTACAAAACCCTATAGTTTCTCAGCTTGCAGTCTCTGAAAAACTTATCAGCAAAATTTTGCTATCAAAGATTTCTCCCTTATTTATAAACCTGAATTTTAATAAAATTCCTGCAGTTCCTAGTACCCATCTGCCCCTAAGACAGAAAGAGAGCCCACCTCTGGGGCAAACAGGTGTTATAAGTCAGCAAGAGGTCAGACACTGATGGTGACCCTCTAGTGTGCCAAGCCAAAACATGAAGGGTCACCACACCTCACTGCTGGTTTAATAAATCCACCCACCATTTAAGAATCTAGAAACATTGGGCATGGTGGCTCACGTCTGTGATCCCACCACACTGGGAGGCCACGGCAGGATTGAAGTTAGGAGTTCAAGACCAGGGCAACATAAGAAGACCTCATCTCTTCTAAAAATAAAAATAAAAAATTAGCCAGGCATGGTAGTATGTACCCACAGTGCTGGTTACTCAAGGAGGCTAAGGTGGGAGGATCACTTATGCCCAGGAGGTCAAGGTTGCAGTGAGCTATGATCGTGTCACTGTGCTCCAGCCTAGCAGGCAACTGAGCAAGACCCTGTCAAATAAAAAACAAACTAGAGCCTTGTGGCCATTCATGCAAGGGAAGTTCCATCTCTGTTCTGGAGTTCTCTGTGCCAATAAGGTACTTTCTCAACAGCAAGGAGGAAAAGCCAATAACTATTCCTAACCCCAGTACTTGGGCTCACTCTGCAGGACATTAGCTTCTTTCAATCCTATTTCAATTTATAAAGCCCATATAGGCAAAGAGATTTAAGGAGTTCTAGACGTATGAGATAACTCTGTAAGACATGAATTTAAGGGAAATTTCTGTTTCCCAATCTCTCTGGGCAAAAGAAAGGCCTGGTGGCCCCCACAGCGGCGGCTGACCTTTCTGTGTTCTTTAGATAGCTAAACATCAGGCTCTGTATGAAAGCACAAGAAGCAAAACCACAGAACTTTCCAAGTAATTGCTAGTATGGCCAAAAGCAATTCTTTTCCATGCCAGGTTGTCTGCACCCTAGGATGGTGATTAGACTACCCAACCACTCCCCGGCCTCTGTGCAATCACATCCAGTGCTGCCACCCAAGCCAACTACCTTCCTCCCTCCTTCCCCAAGGTCCCAAGACAATTCTCGAGGACCTCCACTGCAAACCAGATCTCAGTCAGAAGGCTACCATCATATTCCACCAATAAGAGCCTTTCAGATCCAGCTCTGGCATAAATGACCCCTTCTGGAGATGGATGTGCTGATTTTATTTAGCTTTTCCCTATTGATATTTTTTGTTCTTTTTCAGGGATAGAGGTGAAGGAGATATGGAAGCAGAAAAACAGACTCAAGATAATCCAGCCACAAACAAATTGAGAGGGGTGGGGAATGGTCTTCCTACTGAAAAATGGAATAAGTATATAGCAGATATTTAACCTGATTATAGTATTTAAAACATGTTATATTTACTGTACTTTGTGAGGCTCAAAGCTCACATTTTATAAGAATCCTACCCGGACGATAGCCATCTCCAGCCAACACTTCATTCAAATAATACAAATGCCTTCAGTCCTTTACATCACTCTGTGATATCTAGTTTTTACAGGCCTGTCTTGTCTCCTTTATGAAACTAGAGGATCTTGCTGCTTCCCCAAATGCTATTCACTTGGGAGGGCCTCAGTGGCCCATAGGCACACCACACACATTTTTATCTCTACATATTCGTTTATGTTGGCTTCTCCTTCTGAACATATCTTCCCCTCTCTCTAACCTTCAAGCCTTAGTGCCGCTTAGTCCCACTTTCCTCACCAAGTCTTTTGTGATTACTGTAACAATAGACGCAGATATTTTTATTTGGAGTATGGGTTTGGAAACACTCATTTCAACAGTTATTCTATCTCAAGGACATAAATATTATTAAAAAACTATTATTCCCTGTATTAACATGCAAAAAATTAATTTAGAATATCTTACTTTTTAAAGAATATCAAATGGGCCCAATTACATTTTTCTTCATTGAATATTAAAAACATATTCAACTTAGTTTATAATAATATTAGAAATTATTATAATGGCTATTGTTATATTAAGTACCAGGTACTTTGCTAAATGCCTGTATACCACCGTCATGCTTTCTTACAAAAACCCTTGAAGGTAAGAATATTATTTTCATATTAAAAGCAAGGAAACACAGGCTCAAAATTATCTGTTTGATGACTGTTAGAAGAAGTTTCAAATCCAGATTTATCTAGTTTCAAAGCCTGTGTTCCTTGTATGACACTAGCCGGCCTCGATACAGAATCTCCCATAGCTAACCTACAATTGGCACATGGATATGTAACTCTAAACTGTAAACTTGGGGCTTTCAGTTTTTACATGCGGAAACAATTTTAGCCATACAAAAAAGTGCAAAAATTATGAGTCATAAATCAATTTGGATGCAAATAATTTAAGAGCAAACACTACAAGGAATAACCACCCATAGTGTATACGGTCATCTTCCTTGCCAGAAAACCCCAAAGTTATGAAAATTATGGGGAGTAAATATAGCCAAACACACCAAAGTACTGTAGGGAAAGAGGTCTCTTTACTACTCTTTCCCAACTACTGTTCTTGCCCAAGAGAGTCTAGCAGCACAGGCAGCATACCTGAGCATTCTCCCAGGTATGTCTGCTGGCTGCTTTGCCAATGGGCTTAATCAAAATTGTTTCCACACATACAGTTGCCATCTCTCTCTCTCTGACCTGTAAAGCAGGGAGTAAATGACTCAGTATGCCATTTCTGAAAGACTGCCAATCCCTAGGTGACTAGAATAATGTATCTTCTAGGCATTCAAACTAAATAAGTTACTGAACTCCTACTGAGTATAAAGCAGACAATAACTGTTTACTAACAAAGAGCTATAAAATTTATCCAGAACTATGGATTATTGTGCCAAAAAAGAAACTTAAGTCTTTCACTTCCATCTAGGCCCTAGAGTAACTAAAATACAGCACCATTACCAAATGATACCAAGTAAACATACTACCTGTACTAGAAGCGATACAGTACTCCTCTATAAGCCATGAAATAAAGGACATATAGACAATTATATTAAGCTGAGAATGTAAAAAACATATCAACATTATGAATGAGCAGAACAGTTAGGCATAATACAGAGTGATGAGTGTGAGATACAGGAACTGTACATAAAGGAATTTCTCATTTATCTCATGCTAGAAGACCTTGAAGAGACAGTGAAAGCTTTAAGATGATTTTTAAAAATTAAGTAGAAACTAAAGGAAGTCTTCCCTTTGACAGAGGCAAATGCAAATCTATGATGGATAAAAATGTACTGTATAGAAAGTAAAGCCCAATAAAGATTATTTTTAAAAAGCATTTAAGATTAGAACCACAATGTAATGCTAAAACACATCACCACAATAAAAAAGGTCAGAGCACATCAAAGTAACAATCCAACTCATTGCCCATTTTTTTTTTTTTTTTTTAAAAAGAGAAAGGGTCTTACTATGTTGCATGTTGCCTGTTGCCCTGATTGCCTTCAAATTCCTGTGCTCAAGCAATTCTCCTGGCTTAGCCTCCCAACTATCCGGGACTACAGGCACATGCCACCATGCTCAGCTCACCAACTTTAATGGTGGGATCAGTAATTACTAACAAGCTTTACACCCATATAAAAATGTTTTGTTACGTGGTTAACCTCTCTAAGGCAGATAATTTGAGTTAATATTACAAAATAAGTAAAAATCAACAAAATCCCTTAATTACATAGAACAGCTGTTGAATAAGAAAAAAACCATTCAACAGAAAAACTAAAAATATAGTAGCAAAATATCTGGCAGATGGCTTCCTTAATTACGAGATACAAAGTACCTTGTATCTAGTATTTAAAATATGTATATTTTAAGGACCTACTCCATTTCTTAGACTATCATGTTGTTCCATAAAAATTTACTCAATAAAAGTTAACCTTAGTTTGGCCTCTAAATTTTTTCAAGTAAAGCAAAAAGTTGAAATTAATCTGAAACCAGATTTGGAAATTAATACTATTGGGCCTAATAATCTGATTCCAGGGTTAATACAAATTTTTATTCACTATCATTCCATTTTTAAAATTCTCAATGTAACATATTTAACATTTTGTTTTCTTTTTTTTTTGAGACGGAGTTTCACTCATGTTACCCAGGCTGGAGTACAATGGCACGATCTCGGCTCACCGCAACCTCCGCCTCCTGGGTTCAGGCAATTCTCCTGCCTCAGCCTCCTGAGTAGCTGGGATTACAGGCACGTGCCACCATGCCCAGCTAATTTTTTGTATTTTTGGTAGAGACGGGGTTTCACCATGTTGACCAGGATGGTCTCGATCTCTTGACCTCGTGATCCACCCGCCTCAGCCTCCCAAAGTGCTGGGATTACAGGCTTGAGCCACCGCGCCCGGCAACATTTTCTTTTTTAAGTTAAAGAGAAACACAATTAAAAAGATTAGGGTCTTTGGCATTATCCTACTCGGCAAAGTGATGTTTCAGTTGTGTACTACAATGTCACTGACACTGTTTCAAAGTTAAATATTCAGCACATTCTTACCCTGAAAAAATTAATATAAGTCACAAGTAAAACAATCTTGAAAATTTCAAACTACTATATCTAAAACAATGTCTATCAGTAAAAAGCAAGTAATGCATCACAAAAAGCTATTTTCTCCAAGATACCTGTCAAAGATTTCTAACTTGAAAATTGTACATACTCATTTTAAAGGACAGAGTGATAATACTGTCTTTGAATTTTAATACAATGAAAATATTTAAAAATACAAATGTAAGGTATACCTAAAAAACGGAGCAGTCTTAAATTTTAGATAGCCTACTCCTGTCAATTAAAAGTAAAAGGTCATAAATTCCATACCTTTCCAGCTGCTTCTGGTGTTTCTCCTCCCTAGCCTGAGCCTTCATCTGCTGTACTTCAATAGTATCAGGCTTCCTTCTTCGCATGTATAGTTCATGGTTTCCCATACATAAGGCCAAAATCCGCTTATTGATTCTCAGACGAGGTGCATAAAAAACAAAATCCTGAACATAAAGTATTCCAAATTTAAAATCTTCCTGAGGGATACTGTGTCTCACAATAATCTGTACTAAATTTTAATATGAGGTATGAATTTTAATGTCATATAACATATAGTTTAGAAATCATACAATTTCATAACTCCCAGTGAGGATGACATACTTCCACATAACTGGTTCCTTATCTTTCGTATCCTACCAGTTTTGTAAAGAGGTTAATATTCTTATCTTTGTAATACATTAAATGTCATTTATTCCCTTTTGTTCTCCAAAGTAACTATGAACTGTATAAAGTTCCTTATAAGCCATTTGCCATTAATGTCAAAACTGGTTCTCTGTTCATGGCTGTAGAGGTTTTTTTTTTGTAACCTAGAACTGTTTGGGGTTTTTTGAGACAGTGTCTTGCTGTCACCCAGGCAGGAGTGCGGTGTGCAATCTCGGCATACTCCAACCTCTGCCTCCCAGGGTCAAGCAGCTCTCATGCCTCAGCCTCCCGAGTAGCTGAGATTACAGGCATGCACCACCACATCTGGCTATTATTTCTATTTTCAGTAGAAATGAGGCTTCGCCATGTTGGCCAGGCTGGTCTTGAATTCCTCACCTCAGGTGATCTGCCTCCCTCGAGCCTCCCACAGTGCCAGGATTATGCGCCTGAGCCACCGTGCCTGGCCTGTTCTCCTTATCTTTTATCTTTCCAATAACTAACAGAGTTAGGATACTAGAGTATACTTGACATTAGCGGAAATTTAAAAATCTATTTAAATAAAAAGATTTCTTAAGTTCAAGGCTTCAAGTTACAAAAATACAAAGTTTATAATGCAAAACTGTATAAACAATGTTAATTTAGAATAGGGCTACCTCCACTGCATTCTAGCCATCAATGAAGAAACGTTTTAAAATTGCTTCTTAGGAATGGTGATTGTTTTACTAGCCTCCTAATATATATTATCTATCTTATAACTGAATTTCAAACAAAATTTTAATATTTACATCTTACTTTAAAAATTAAACTTTGGATTTTTATTAACATATATTATTTCATCACTGGGAAAGCCGACCCATGGAAAGAGAAAGTTCCTTGAAGCAATTTAATAAATGAACAATGTTATTCTTCAAGTGATATCATAGGAAAGTAGCAGATATACAGTTCATACACAAAACATTTAAAAAATTACTTACAGGTGCCTTTTTGTCGATTGGCTTTATAACAAATTTTTTGTCATTAAATGAAATATTTCTGATTTCACTCCAGGGAAAACCAATTTTAGGTGTTAACCTTAAAAAATGAGAACATCTCCTTAATTAAAGGCAGGAACCAATGAACAAATCTCCTAACTATTTAGGGCCTAAACTGGCTGAATGACCAATCTTAAGAGTTCCATATTTTCAAAGTGTATTAACTTATTCATAACTACAGTTGACCTTATTTTTTTAAGAGGAAAATTGATAAATCACATAAAACAAATAATCGTCCAAAGATTTCATAAATATGTCATGAACCTTAAAAGTATTATAGTTATTTTCTTAAAATTATCTTAAAAAACTACCTGGTGACCCGAGTGTAGAACTGAGCCTCTTGGGGTTTGCACTAGCTATTTAGTTTTTATTCTGTTTGGATTCAAGCTACAATTACCGTTTAAATATGCATAAGAAGTGGGAGGGGGGGAAGGCCCTTATAACTTCTCATGTGAATTACTGGCAAGTTATTGAAGATTAAAAAAAAAAAAACAAAAAAAAACCAGTACTTCCTTCCTATGTTTAATTTGAATATGCCTGAATATTCATGAATATACTAAAAATACTTATTTCAGTATATTTTAAAAGAATTTTATGGTATATGAATATGTCAACTTAAAAATTTTAGCCGGGCGTGGTGGCTCAAGCCTGTAATCCCAGCACTTTGGGAGGCCGAGGCGGGTGGATCAGGAGGTCAAGAGATCGAGACCATCCTGGTCAACATGGTGAAACCCCGTCTCTACTAAAAATACAAAAAATTAGCTGGGCATGGTGGTGCGTGCCTGTAATCCCAGCTACTCAGGAGGCTGAGGCAGGAGAATTGCCTGAACCCAGGAGGCGGAGGTGGAGGTGAGCCGAGATCGCGCCATTGCACTCCAGCCTGGGTAACAAGAGTGAAGCTCCGTCTCAAAAAAAAAAAAAAATTTAAACAGTCACACAAATATTGGATAAATGGTCAAGATGGAATTCAAACTCTTGAGACTATACAGCAGTTACCTCCTTTTTACCACCCTAAAGATATAGGGAATCAAATTGGAATAAGTAATTTTGTTTCTGCCTTTTCATGTATTTTACTGTTTCAGACTATCCATCACATGCATCACTATTGTCCTATTGTCCTAATAACTACGATTGAGAAATGATTTTGACACCTATACTGGCCAGAAGGCATCTTTTAGCCAGGCTTCCGACAACACAGCATGAATTTCTACCTATTTATATTGCTTTTAGTTCGCAAGCTGAGTAGGTACTGCAGAACAGCAGTCTTTTCTACATAAAACATTTTTTTTTTTTTTTATTCTTTGTCCCTCTAGAGAAAAACATTATTTAGGTCAGTATGCATGTGTTATACTGCCCTCTAATGGCCCCTGATATCAGTGTAACCTGCTTAAAACAGAGACTGCAGGAATGTAACATAGTATTTTATGCTGTATTTACATGCCACTTCGAAAAATTCTAAAGCAATTGCCTCATATAATTCTCACAACAATCTTGTGAGGTAAGCCTGGAGGCTAATACAATAACTTTTTAAAAAATAAAAAAAATTGCTCCAATATATGCCTGAACAACAACAAAAAATGAAGAAGCCAGGCACCGTGGCTCACGCCTATAATCTTAGCACTGGAGAAGGCAGAGGCGGGAGGATCGCTAGAGGCCAGGAGTTCGAGGCCAGCCTTGGCAATATAGCAAGATCCCATTCTCTAAAACAAAAAAGAAAAAAATTCAGTTCACAAAAATTAGTCTTGAAGTCATTTTTGCTTTCCAAAAACTTCTATTCTGAATGACGTACATTCTAACTTGCTTTGTAATGAAAACATGAAAAGAGATTAGGGTAAAAGTAGTAAAATGCTTATTTGGAATCACATATGCTTTGAAATTAGTATTTTATTAGATACCTGTAATAATAAAAATAATAAAATTCTGGAGCCAACCTAGAATAAATAATGTCTTAGGAAAAGGCATTAATTACTGGCATAGACTTGGATGCTTATGTGGTATGGTAAATAAAGTCTAAGACAACTGGAGTTATTAATCCTGAAAAGTCTTGTAAGAGTCTGGTATATTTTATATTGCATGTATATGTTTATAATGTACTTTATGTAGTATTTACCCATGTATTTATGTAGTACATATACAATATGCAGATGTAAATATACATATATTATACATATGTATAATAAAATATTGAATTATATATGTATAATAAAAAAATAATATTTGGTCAATTTCAAAATATAATTATACTGTTCAATAGGCATAATACAGGGATGTTCTATTGTATTAATATCCAAATATATTCAAAACAATTCCTATATATGTTCAAAAAACATCCTCTAAGCTATAATAGACGTATTTACTAATTTCATTCTCTCATTGCTCTTGATTTCTTATATATATTCATTTCAATTTCAACCTATTGGTCAAGCATAATGGCATTTACAGAATTATTCCTCACCTATAGAGGGAACAAATTTTAATTAAGTTACTAAACATAACTCACAAGAGCTAACGCAGCACAATTCAAATAAAAGCAAATCACTTCATTTGATAAATACACTGAAAAGTAGAACTCTGAACTTGCAGGGTGATTAAGAGGAGAGAAAATATCTACAAATCTATGTGGCATTGACTAATCTTTTAGTTTGAAACTAGTAGTAAGGGTAATCAAGACAAGAAAGTACTCTGACAAACAGGACAGAAGATTAAAGTTATTTAGACCACTGAACAATGACTAGTTCACTATGCAACTAATTCACTTACTTGTCATCATGCTCATAAATATTCAGACCCAAAGCATCAACACCTAGCCACAGTTCAGTTCCCTTTTTATTTTTTATTTCAAAATAGTTGACTCCATACATTTCTAGATCTTGTGCAATCTTCAGGTATTCCATCATAGAATCCTCCCTGTTGAAATAAAACTAAATGTAACATATTTAAGTAGGAGCATATCAAACTAAAATTACAAATACCTTGAATTAAAAATCAGTGCTTTACATAAGTCAAATAATCTTTTGGAAATAATGTAATAATAAATGTTATGACATAAAAATATATTTTAGGGGGAAAAAAAAAACCATAGAAAATAGCTACCCAAATACCTTAACATTCCTCTATGTTCTTCATGCCAGTTCTGTATTCTTTCTTCCCACTGTTCTTTCGTTAGTTTGTGTTGTTCCAATACACTAAAAGGACAAAAGAAAATATAATGTCTTTATGATTCAAAATCATACACCTTAAAAGTATAGAATCCTTTTAGTAACTCGACTACAGGAGCTGTCAGACAAATTAATACACATGATGAAATTGCATAGAACTAAATTACATACTTACACAAACAATGAGTGCAGGTAAAACTGATGCAATCTGAATAAGGTGGCTAGATTGTACCAATGTCAGTATCTTGTCTGTAATATTGTACTGTAGTTACACAAGATGTTACCATTAGGGAAGGCTGGGAGAAGGACACCAGGGATCTATCTTATTTTTTACAATTGCATCAGAATAATCAATAATTCTCTCAAAATTAAAAGTGTCTAGGATGCTTAAATTCTTTGAAATAACACATGCTCCAAAAAGTTACTACAAAGATAGCTTATAGGAACCCAAATATTTCAAAGGAATAAAATGTTATATCAAAAATTAAAGACCAGATTGAAACCAGAATTCTTGGGCCCTAATTCTTCCTTCATGTATTTGTATTTACCTTTTTGCCTACTAATTTTGGTTTATGTAGGTAATACTTTCAGTTAAATAAAAAGTAGAGTGAAAAGTCATACTCTAATCCAATACTCTCCAAATAACTTGTTTTTGTATCCTTCCAGTGTTCTTAATTCAAATGTGAACAAATACATTCTTTTTTTTTTTTCCTTTTTTGAGATGGAGTGTCACTCTGTTGCCCAGCCTGGGAGTATAGCGGCACAATCTCGGCTCACTGCAACCTCTGCTTCCTGAGTTCAAGCGATTCTCCTATCTCAGCCTCCAGAGTAGCTGGGATTACAGGTGTGCACCACAATGCCTGGATATTTTTTTTTTTTTCTTTTTCTTTTTGTGTCTTTAGTAGAGATGGGGCTTCACAATGTTGGCCAGGCTGGTCTTGAATACCTGACCTCAAGTGATCCGCCTGCCTGGGCTTCTCAAAGTGCTGGGACTACAGGCATGAGCCACCAGGCCCAGCCAAACACAAACATTATGTTCTACTACTACTATTTTAACACCAAATTAGCAAAGTCATGTTTACAAGTTACCTACTATGCACACTACAGATCAGGATTTCTATTCTCTTTGGCTCATATGATAATTACTCACCTTTATTTACCAGATCCTACTTTACTGATAGCAAAAGCTGTGGTGTTAAAATATTAGTGTTTTGCTATATAAAAAATCTTGTATGAAATCCAGGGATTTCTTGGCAGTCTAAAGAAATCATAAAATCTCCCCTTGGACACATTACATACAACTTAGATTTCTTAAAGAGGTCTGAGACATACCGTTATGTTCTTCTTATACTCTGCTCCTTTCTCTAGGCATCTTTTTCAAGCTCTTGCTTTTGGGGAGAAGAGTTTTATCTTCCTTCTTAGAGAGCTTAAGTTTTCAGTTTCTTGTCTTTCTTGCTGTCTGGCCTCTGGGCTCACAGACAGGCATGCAATCAGCCTTGGTGATATAACCCAGTGCAGTTGACTGCTCATCATAATTATATGCCCAATGCCAGTACTAAAGTGGGCCTCAAAAATTTGCAGAATGAATGAAAGAATTAGAAGAGTCAATTTTTCCCAATCCTTTTCTTTTTTTCTTTTTCAGAGCCAACTTTCTTTTATGGGCTGTGCATTACACACTAACCTCAGTTTTCATAACTGACATCCACTGCCCCCAATCTACCCAATCTGGCTCAAACACCCAATACTCTATAAAGACTGCTCTTCTAAGGTCACTATATATCTCCTTTTTTTTTGTTTTGTTTTCTTGAGATGGAGTCTTTTGTCGCCTGGGCTGGAGTGCAATGGAGTGATCTCAGCTGACTGCAACCTCCGCCTCAGGTTCCAGCAATTCTCCTGCCTCAGCCTCTCCAGTAGCTGAGATTACAGGTACTTACCAACACATCCAACTAATTTTTGTATTTTTAGTAGAGATGGGGTTTCGTCATGTTGGCCAGGCTGGTCTCGAACTCCTGACCTCATGTGATCTACCCACCTCGGCCTCCCAAAGTGCTGAGATTACAGACGTGAGCCACCACGCCGGGCCCCAATTTCCTTATTCCAACACTTTAGTTCTCCTCATACTTGACCTCTTGGAACTACTTGGCAGTGCTGATCATTCTCTCCATAAATTATTCTTTTAACTTGGTTTCTATGACATAATACTCTTCTGGTAGTATTCTTGTTTTTTGAGACAGAGTCTTGCTCCGTCACCCAAGCTGGAGTGCAGTGGTGCCATGTTGGCTCACTGCAGCCTCCACCTCCAGGGTTCTAGTGATTCTCCTGTCTCAGCTTCCCGAGTAGCTGGCATTATAAGCATGCACCACCAGGCCCAGCCATCTTCTGGTATTATTATTGAATCTCTGACCATTTTGTCTCAGTACAGTTGTCCCTCCACATCTATAAAGGATTGGTTCCAGGACTCCCTATGGATACCAAAAACTGTGGATGCTCACTTCCCTGATATAAAATGGTGTAACAGTTGCATATAACCCATGCACATCCTCTTGTTTATTTTCAATCGTCTCTAGGTTAATAATACCTAATACACTACAAATGTTTTGTATTGTTATCCTGTATTTTTAAATTTTTGTATTTTTTTTTATTGCTGTGCTATTTCATTTTTTCAAATATTTTCCATTTGTGGGGTTGACTCTGTGAATGCAGAACCCACAGACAAAATCTGAGGTCCAACAAGGTCTACCCTAGGTCTTTTTCTCATTTGATAGTACTTGCAGGTTGATCTCTTTCATTCTCACGGCTTAATCATCATCTATTCACTGATTACTCCCCAAAACTGTATCTGTAGTCCCAGACTGTTCTAAAAGGTCTGGACCCACATATGCATATAAATAATAGATATCTCTCTTGGTTATACCATACATATTTCAAACTCAATATGTTCAAAACTGAATTCATCTTCCCCCTCAAATGTACTTTTTTTCCTCTCATTTTGATAAAAGGTATTACCAAACACCCAGCTGCCCAAGTCAGAAACCTGGTATGCAAAAATTTATGTGTATCTAGCTCTTTTCCAAGAGAAGCAATACTATCTGGTGGAGCTAATTATCTATACCACGAGAGCTAAACTTTTCTATAATAAGAACAAATTACTAATTTGGGTTTTTCAATACAAGAAATCAGAACCGCTGAATTATTTTATTTAATTTGTCATTACCAAATAACCTAATTACTCATTTATTCCCCAGGCTGTACTTAGAAACTGAGAAAAAAGTGTGCTATATACCATACTGGAGTAAGACAATCACTGTAAAAATATCCTCACTGTTCTAAACAGAAAAGAAACAGGCATCTGATTTTATGACTAAGTCTCATTTAAGATTAAAATAGCTTGAATCAGTCCTTCATGGAATATCAACTCTGAAAGAACAACTTACACAAAATTAAGGAAGAAATCTTGAAATGGGCATTTGCACTAGCAACCACAAGCAACCTTATCTAAAGCATTTAGCCACCTTCCTTGTTTTTAAACAGAGTGAGTTAGAGCACACATGTATTTAAAATAAACTGCGCTTGAGTGTGATTCTAGTGTTTAAAGGATTTTTTCATCACATGCCAATTACTTCATCTGCTGCTCAACCAAACAACAATCCGGTTTGACAGTGAAAAATACTGTACTTGTATAGATAAACCATTCTTGTTCTTTAACATTAAAAAAAAATTTACAGTAATTCTGATTATAAAGCAAAAGGTAATCCTTATATGAAACGAAATTCCACCATAATAGTCTGATTACTGAATTAAGTGCTTTAAATCTAAGACGAAGGATGTTAGGTTAGAGTAACATTCAAAACCAGAAGAATATAAACAGACTATCAAATATATCATATTCCTGATTCTCTTGGTGAACAACTGAAGATGACTCCATCCTCTTCCAAGGTGACTACTAATGCCACAAAATTACACAGCAGAACACTATAACATTTGATAATTAAATTTTGGCCAGCCGTGGTGGCTCACGCCTGAAATCTCAGCACTTTGGGATGCCAAGGCAGGTGGATCATTTGAGATCAGAAGTTTGAGACCAGCCTGGCCAACATGACAAAATCTCGTCTCTACGAAAAATACAAAAACTAGCCAGGCGTGGTGGCAGGCACCTGTAATCCCAGCTACTTGGGAAGCTGAGGCAGGAGAACTGCTTGAACCCGGGAGGTGGCGGGTGCAGTAAGCCAAGATTGCGACACTATACTCCAGCCCAGGCAACAGAGCAAGGCTCCGTGTCAAAACAAAAATCAAATTTTAAAGTTACTGTACTTGTGGCACCTTATAAAGCACGTATTAAAAGATGATATGTCTATTAACTAAAATAAACCTTAATGCCTACAAAGAAAATAAAAGTGAACATGAAGCAGTTGTCTTCCTTCATATTTCCTAACCATCAAAAAGAAACTACACCTAAAAGCTTCAATACTACTATAAGGAAATGGTGCAAAACTGAAATTTTAAGTTAATAGTAATGCACATTTTTACATTTAAATAGACATTTTTTAGGGCCGGGCACAATGGCTCATGCCTGTAATCATAGCACTTTGGGAGGCTGAGGTAAGCATATCGTTTGAATCCAGGAGTCGAGACCAGCCTGGGCCACATAACAAAACATCATCCTTACAAAAAATACAAAAATTGGCTAGGTGCAGTGGCACACACTGTAGTCCCAGCTACTTAGGAGGCTGAGGTGGGACAATGGCTTGAGCCCAGGAGGCGGAAGTCGTAGTAAGCAGAGATCACACCACTGAACTTGAGCCAGGGTAACAGAGCCAGATCTTGTCTCAGGAAAAAAAAAATTTTTTTAATTCAGGAATGTGGACTAAAAATAGAGCATAGTAAAAACCTCTTTCCAGGTTCTAAAAAGATCTCAGTGTAGTCTGTAATATCAAGGATATGTATGCTACCAAAATTAAGAATCAAGATACTTAAAGTAATATTTAGGCTGGGCTCATTGGCTCATGCCTGTAATCCCAGCACTTTGGGAGGCTGGAGCAGGATGACTGCTTGAGGTCAGGAATTTAAGAGCAGCCTGGGCAACACAATGAGACCCACCTCTTACAACAAATACAAAAATTAGCTGGGCACAGTGGCACACGCCTGTAGTCCCAGCTACTTTGCAGGCTGGGGCAGAAGGATCACTGGAGCACAGAAGTTTGAGGCTACAGGAGCTATGATGACACCACCACACTTCAGCCTACGTGAGAGAGTCAGACCCTGTCTCTAAAAAATCAAAAATTAGTATTTGATGTTTGATTTTCTAGATTTCATTAATATTACCAAGTAACACTTGTATCACTTTTGACAATTAAAACTGTAAACCATACAGTTCATTAATTATAATCATAAACTGGAAGACAGTCAGAGAAGAATTATTATCCCCACTTTGCAGACTTAGGTATTGAAGTTCAGAGGTTTTAGGTTATGTACCTAAGGTCACATATATAGCAAAGCGTTGAATCAATACTCAAAATTTAGGTCTTCTAATAATTTTTTCCTATGCCATGTTATTTTAAAATAGCCATTATAGAGGCAGCAGTACACTGCAGATAAAAAAAAATGTGGCCGGGCGAGGTGGCTCATGCCTGTAATCCCAGCACTTTGAGAAGCTGAGTGGGCGGATCATGAGGTCATGAGTTTGAGACCAGCCTAGCCAACATGGTGAAACTCCA